TAAGAAAAATAATTGTAAATAGAATAGCACTTTCTTTTCCAATAGGAAGGCTCCATGGAAAATCAAATTAGAATAGTTATATTTACCTCCTCATTGTGAGATAGCGCACTCTTACATACTTATAAACATACATATGCGGCCTCTTGCTTTTGGATTTTGTCTCTCTGTTCTTGAGGATAGGGATATCTGCATGTACAAGGAAGAGAAAAACTATCTCCATAATGTTTAAGCAGCCTTGAGTTTTAAAAATTGAAAATAGCATCGTATTTAGCTAAAAAGAGCATAGAAGTTACAAGTAAAAAATAATGGTACATATCTTATTTAGTATAGCAAGACACATTGTCAAACAGAAGCTAGGCTCTGTTTAGTATAACTACCTTGGGCATATTTACACAGACATACAATGCTTTCTCATGAATATGAAAATTAATTTGTAGAAAATATATTTGCATTCTAATGTAATGCAGTAAAACAGTTTAGTAATAAAGTATGCCTTTAAGTTAGCAAACCAATCCAGTGATACTTTTTAGATATAACATATAAATGTATAAATTGAGATTTTTACTAGATCCATTCAGTATTATAAAATATTTGGATTACTTTTTATTTGCATTCTTTGCCTGTGGATTAATATGCTGTGTGTGTGTGTGTGTGTGTGTGTGTGTGTGTGTGTATGGGAAATTTCCTGTCCCCAACAGCCTCTGCAGTTAGGCACAGCCCAGAGATTTCTTGGCAGATTACGTTCAGTTATTGATGATTCCAACTCATCCATTTTGTTTTTCACAGATCAGGAATGAGGTCCAAGTAAAATTTTCTCTCCCTTAAACATCCAAACCACTGTTGAAAATAACAGCCATCTACTTCCTCTCATTGGATATAAATATATATATGCTTAAGCTTCAGTTTCTATCGAGGGCAATAGCTATCATTAAAGATCATTTCCACTGGATAAGAAATGTATAAGACATCAGTTTTTTCATGATATATTTGCACTTCCCTTGAAGTTACTTCTTGTTCTGTCAAAATATCCCCCTTTCCTCCAAGGAGATTCGTTTTGACCTTGTTGTATTTGTACATTTTACCTTCTTCTACACACAGATTCTAACATTTATCATACACTTTCCTTTTAATTCTGATACACTTCCATTGGGTTGCCTACTCTTACTCTCCCTCTTCACCCTTAAGCCCTCAGACGCTTCGTAGTTTCTCATCATTGTGAAAGTGAAAGATTGGAAAGTAGATACGCACAATGCACTGTCATCATTGAGAGTTTTGGAACTGAAATTGAAGTCAGAGTGAGGGCAAAAATGGAGAGCAGCTTTTTTCAATCACAGCAAGTCAGAGAAGATGACAGATGTAGCAGCTGGAGGGAAGTAATCATGTTTCTACATCTGCTGCCTCTGCGCAGCTCTTCCTACAGAAGGGTACCTTCCGTTTTAGCTGAGATACAGAGACTAGGAGTCAAGACAATTCCTTTGCACCGTCTGAAGAAATGCTAAAGTGCCAGGGTTATTTAGACATTTGACTCATATTTAAGTCAACATGCAATATTTTCTATATATAACATGTTTTAAATAGTGAACAGAAGAATTTTTCTTTTACTGGCATCTAATTATTTTTAGGAGTCATCTCTTTATATTTTATAGAGTAATAATTTAAATTTAGTATTATTGGACCCAATAGGTGTGATGTAAAAAGCAGTTGTGTCAGAATTTCTGTCCGAAAAGTAGCAGCTCACCTTATACATAATTGCAAAATATTTCTTTCATGCCTTAAGTGTTAGAAATCCTGAATGGAGTAGTTGCCATGTATAATTTGATATTGCTTGGCAGGAATCCTTTTTAAAATTGCTGTAAGGTGTAAGTCAATAGTAGTAAACACGAACCCCTTCTATTTTACAAAAAGTTGAAACAAATACAACAATCAGTTTAGTTCTTCTAAAATAGCTGTTAATTAGGCTGAAGGACCCACTTGTTCCTCGATGTTCCATAAGCTGGCTGTCTCTAATGCAGCTGCCACTTATTCTTAGCTGTTTACCTATCGAAGTCTTCTCCTTTTAAGTGGTTTCCAAAAGAAATGTAGATTTCTGACTTAGATTTAAAAGAGTTTTACTCTTAAGCACAGCCCAATAAGAACTTCCACATAGTAATAACATAATGTTATGTGAACCTTATAATAACCAGATAGTATTCTTCAATTAGGTCCTGAACCTCCATTTGACTTTTCATTATCATTTCCAGTTCTTCCTAAGTATTAGGCTTCTTTGGGATCCAGATAGTCTGACTCAATTTCTTCCTTCTTTTTCCATGGTGGAAGGTTGCCAGGCAGCCTTCTACCACCTCAGAGAGGCTCAAGGGCCACAGGACTCTGCTGACCATCCAGGGAGCAGTGGACAGCTGCCCCATTCTCACATCCACCATCCCTGGTGACTGGTGCCCCTCCTCACAACTCTGCTTGGGAAGGGTCACGTTCCTGGGATCAAATTTTTTACATTAATAATACTAAGCATGAACTCTTTTTATTAGTTTACATTGTTATTAATTTATAATCTGTAAAATCTTTTATAGTAGGCTGTGCTAGATACATTTCTACATTTATGACTTTGTAACTTTAATATAAATTCAGTAGAATGTCAATAATCTATAGTACTCAAATCCAACCAATATATGGATGTTGTGTTTTTATGATTTCAGATCCCTTACAGCATGATTTGTATGCTTTCCTTAAGTTTTAAACTTATCTAATTTATTTAGTTTATAAATAATTATCTAAATAAGGCAAAAAAGATTTTGGTATCATTCCTTCTACTTCTCAGTTGTACCAGTTATCTTAACTACATGAGGTCTGTCCAGAAGGTATCCAGCCATGCAATATGAAAAATAGAGCCATTTATTGAAAAAGATACAAGATACAAGAAACGTTGTACATAGAACAATGATGCCTCAGTCCTCTTCAAAGTAGGCGCCTTGGGACCTCACACAGTTCTCCCAATTGCTATCAGCTGCCCTGTTGTATTTTCCTGAATTTCATTGACAGTCTGAAATGTCTTCCCTTTCAAAGGCAATTTTAGTTTTGGGAAAAGCCGGAAGTCACAGGGTGCCAAATCTGAGCTGTAGATGGGCTGAGTCACCTGGGTGATTTGATGTTTCTCCAAACAACTCTGCATGAGATGTGATGCATGAGCCTGTGCGTTGTCATGATGAAACTGCCAATCACCAGTTGCCCATAGCTGCGGCCTTCTGAATCATCCAAATACTTTCTGTGGAGGAATGTTCAAGCTTAACACAAAATTTGTTGCAGATTTGTTGCTCTACTCACTTATTTTGAATGCAACAGCCGCATAGTACACATGCTCACTGAATGGCATCTGCTGCCCCCACTGGCTCGTACAGTGACATTGTCATTGTTCATGCATGTGCATTCCTTGGTTGCCAGGTTGCACTGATGTAATGCAAACTGCTCTTGTTATATTAACAATGGTTTGACTTTTTCCAGGCAGACCTCATATATGGTTGTATTAGTCTGCTCAGGCTGCCAAAACAAAGCATCACAGATGGGGTGGCTTAAAAATAACAAAAGTATTCTCTCACCATTCCGGGGACTAAAAGTCTAAGATGCAGGTGTCAGCAAGGTTAATTTCTTCTGAGGCTGTTCCCTTTGCTTGTAAATGGGTTTCTTTCCCTGTATCTTTCGATGGTTTTCTCTGTGCATGCCTGTGTCCTAATCTTCCCTTTTCGTAAAGAGACCAGTCATATTGGATTAGGGCCCACCTTTTAACTTAGTTACTTTCGTAAAGACTGTACCTGAGATGTTGGGGGCTAGGACTTCAACATTATAAATTGGGTCATGGCAGCAAGTACACAATTCACTACGTAATGATGACACTTCACAATTTTTTAATTTGCCAAAAAACTAAAATGTGTAAAGCACATGTTCGTTTAAACTTTGTAACAGCACAGTGAAGAACTAGAGTTACAGTGAGTCCCAGATCCCTGCTCGAGGCCTCTTGTCTGGGAGAAGGCAGAACTAGAGCCACAGTCTCCCCATTTGAACCTTGCTATCTTTTCACTCTGCAGTTCTGCAGAGATAGAACTTGACAGTTGTACAGATGTTTGAATGTTGGGGTATATTAGATATGCATATTTTGGGTCATGATCTATAAAATCCAGTCAGATTTCTACTGTACATTTTTAGTCACAGCTTTCTGACCTTACTTATACCTTTTTTCCTGTTTTATTTTCTAAAGAGTAGGTCGGAGTCTAGAAAGATTGGTAAGATAGTTAAAACTTAATTGCCAAATTTTAAAAAAGTAAACATATCAAAGAATTTCTAGAGGTTTATGTCATGACAATACACACCCCTAAAAATTATTTTTAGTAAAGGATAAATTTTACTTCCAGCACTGAGGATTTTTAGCAGTTTGTTCACCTGCCAATGGAGCACATAGGGGGAAGAAGGGACAATATTGAACTGCTGAGCTCTACATCTGCTTTTCCCACAGTGGTTACAGTCTCCAGCGTTATCGCAGCCTGAGCGCCAGTGCTTCTTTGGCAGCCCTGGCTTGGAACATGCCAGCTCTCTCCTGCACTGTTAGAAGCCCTGTCTGTGGGTTAACATTTTAGGAATTATTCTGATAGGCTAGAGTTGATTCAACTCTATCATGAGTCTGATGAATCTTTTTTCTCTTATTGTTCCTATTAGCAGTACATAAATGTTTCTTATAAACCCTGGAGATCACTCTTGTCTTACAATTCTTTTTCTTTACATCTTATATATATCTTAAGTATGTGACTATTTCAGACTTTTTATATCTACAAAGACACAGTTGGATACTTGTATGATATGATTAGCCTACTTTTAAAATATATAAGTATGAATATGCTTAAGTTTTTAAAAGTTATTAAAATTCATAGAAGAAATTTGATATATGATTGGATAGATGTATTGATGTCTGCCTTTTTTAAAGCATCAAAATAATTAAAAATATATTTTTTTGAAAGTTGGCCAGGCATACTTTGCCCTGATCCTTTTAAAGGGAAATATGTCACATATGACCTCGATGGAGATGTTGAACAGTATCACATAGAATTCCTGGGTGATCCGCATTCAAGATCATGGATAAATGCAGCATTCGTCGGACATTATAGTATCACATTAAAGGTAGGTACAGTTATAACATAAAAACTTTATTCTTCTTGTACTTGTTTTTAATTATGGTTATTTTTGTCTCAGATACTAAGTGATATGTAATCATTTACTTTTATTTTATATTTATATAAACAAGTAGTATATATTCTTCATTAAAACTCACATTTTTTATTTTTAAAGCAGTTTTTCAAAGGAAGTATGGATATGGAAATAGCCATGGGGTAGTTTTAAATTTTATTTTTCTAATAGCAATATAGTATAAATCAACTGAGGACTTCACATAATTGCCTTTTAAAAGAATTTTAAGATTATCATTTGGTAATTTTTAAAATTCTCTTGAAAAGACTCTAAGCTGCAGTACTAGCTCACAGGGAAAATTAATTATGGAATGCAATTAGGTTTTCCAATTTCAAATGGAATATGTCTGACTCCTTCAGTATCTTTGATTCCTTTTAAACTTTAGATTACACACTGCAATTAATGAATATACTGGACTCTCACATAGATGAGAATAGGTAAGCTGGACCTATTTACATGGAGTTGATTTAATCATTATAAATTAGCTCAGTTATCTGTGACTATATTCTAATATTAAAACTTTTAATATGCAAATCATGCTTTCATTAGAAATCTGTTGGGAAAAAAGTCAGGAATGTGGATTTCTTATCAGAAACAAGACAGATGTCCACTTTTACCACATTTATTCAACATAGGACTAGAAGTCCTAGCCACAGCAGTCAGACAAGAAGAAGAAATAAAAAGCATCCAAATTGGAAAGGAGGAAATAAAACTGTCATTATTTGCAGATGACATCATATTGTACATAGAAAGCCCTATAGGCTCCACCAAAAGATTACTCAACCTAATAAATAGATTTGGCAAAGTAGTGGGATACAAGTCAGTATTCAGAAGTTGATGGCATTTTTATACACCAATAATGAACTATCAGACCAGAAACTAAGAAAACAATCCCATTTACTATGGCAACAAAGAAAAATTACCTAGGAATAAATTTAACCAAGGAGGTAAAAGACTTGTACTTGGAAAACTATAGGACACTAAAGAAAGGAATTGAGGAAGATACAAATGAGTGGAAGCATATATGTACCATGTTCATGGCTTGGAAAATTAACTTCATTAAAATGTCCATAATACTCAAAGCAATCTATAGGTTCATCACAATTCCTATTAAAATACCAATGGCATATATCAAAGATTTAGAACAAATATTCCACAAATGTATACAGAACCAAATAAAGACCCCGAATAGCCTCAGCAATCTTGAGAAAGAAAAACAAAGTTGGAGGGATCACAATACCTACTATCAAACTATTCTAAAAGGGCACTGTAATCATACAGTCTGGTACTCGCATAAGAACAGACACATAGATCAATGGAACAGAATAAACCCACATCTTTATGGTCAATTAATATTTGACAAAGGAGTCAAGAGCATACAATGGAGTAAAGATAGTCTCTTCAATAAATGGTGTTGGGAGAACTGGACCAGTACTTGCAAAAAACTGAAACTAGACCACCAACTTATACCGTACCTCAGAATAAACTCAAAATGGATGAAAGGCTTAAATATAAGTTGCAATACCAAAAAAATCCTAGAGGAAAACAATCAATAAATTTCAGATATCTCATATAGCAATATTTTTGCCAATGTATTTCCTATGGCAAGGTAAACAAAGGAAAAAATGAACAAATGGGTACTACATCAAATTAAAAAGATTCTGCACAGGTAGGGACACGGTCATCAAAATGAGAAAGGAATGCATTGTAGAGGAGGACGTATTTGTGAATGATATATTGGACAAGGGTTTAATCTCCAAAATATATAAAGAACTTATACAACAACACCGGGAAGACAGACAATCCAATCCAAAAATGGGCAAAGGACCTGAACAGACACTTCTCCAAGGAGGACATACAGATGGCCCATAGACAATTGAAAAAGTGCTCACCACCGCTAGCCATCAGAGAGTTCCCAATTAAAACCACAATGAGGTATCACCTCACACCTGCCAAAATGGCTATCATTAATAATTCAACAAACAATAAGTCCTTGTGGGGATGCAGAGAAAAGGGAACTGTAGTGCACTGTTGGTGGGGATGCAGACTGGTTCAGCCACTGTGGAAAACATTATGGAGTTTCCTCAAAAAATTAAAATATGGAACTGCCTTTTGACCCAGCAATTCCACTGCTAGGAATATATCCTAAGAATCCTGAAACACAAATTCAAAGAAATATATGCACCCCTGTGTTCATAGCAGTGCTATTTACAATAATTAAGATTTGGAAACAGCCTAAGTGCTCATCAACAGATGAATGGATAAAAAAAGCTGTGGTACAATTACACAATGGAATATTATGCAGCAGTAAAAAAGGAGTTCTTATGTTTTGCAACAGCATATATGGACCTGGAGCGTTATGCTAAGTGAAATAAGCCAGTTGGTGAAGGCAAATACCATATGATCTCACTTATAAGTGGAATCTAATGGGAAAAAAACCCTACAAAACTTATGAGCAAAATAGAACCAGAGGCATAGTAGCATGGAACAGACTGACAGCTCTAAGAGGAGAGAGGAGAGGTGGGGATTAACTGAAAGAAATGAAAGGACTAGTCAAAGAAAATATATGAATGACTCATGGACATGGACATGGACAATAGTGTGGGATTGATGGTGGGAGTTGGGTGGGGGCAAAGAGGGAAAAATTGGGACAGCTGTAATAATAAAATAGTTAAGAACAAAAAATGTGTTAGGAGAAAGCTATTTAAAAAATGAATTCCTTTTACTCAATTTGGATGATTTCTGTTTTTTAGTGAGAAGTTTATGTATTCAAATATACACTTACACATATGGATAAGTGTAGGTACATTTGAAGTGTGCCATTTAATACACAGTATAAGTGCATTTGTGCAAATTTGAGGTACTAAAAGTATACTTTTACTCTATCTTTGGCATAAACAGTATCTTTGTTCTTTTCAGCTTGAAAGCAGCTGGAAGGAAAAGCTGTTTTATTTAAGTGTGGGATAACATCACTTACATTCATTTCATGTTAGTTGTGAGCCAGTCATTTTAATGTGAGGCCCCCTCTTTGCTCTGACATTTCGGATATGTGCCTAGTACCTCCGCTGGCAACCGTGGAAGACAGGAAAGAGTGTTCTCCCTTCTGGGCCCTCCTCCCCTTTCCTAAAGGATGGGGAAACCGCCTAGCTTTGTCACGAAGCAGACCTTAGAATCTTAGACAATGTGGTAAAGAAGGGGGCATTCTTAAGAAATTATATTTAAATATAAGTAAAAATATCAAAGTATATTTTTAAATTGTCTCTGGTATCAGTGGGCACACCATTAATCCCTGGGACAAGGGAACAATCTGATGCAAAACAAAACCAAACACAAAAGTCAAAACCAGTACCTACAAGTTTTTAACCTTATGAAAGCATTAAAGCAAACCGAGAAATTCTTGCAAATACCAGGAACAGGGATGCTTGAATTAGTGAAAGGGTGAGAGCAGAAAAAAGTAAATTATTTGATTCTCTTTTTCATTCCCCCACTTTCCCAACTAGCCCAGTGCTCTGGGTAGATAACTCACTGAGTGCCCACAGCCCTAGGGCAGGCTCTCTCCTCTGCTGTCACTCGGGGTAGCTACCTACAGTCTCTGCTTTTAGCCCATAATCTTTTTTCCCCCCATCTTTGTCTTTCTCTTGTTCCCTTGGAGCTGGTATAATAAGGGTGCCTTCTTCTGTGGGTCTCTTCATTCTAATCTGAGGTTTTAGTTCTCTTTTACCTCAATTCGGCTGACACATGCCATCCTGTTCCACTGTGCTCCCATTCCCCGCTCCTGGCTACCTGAGATCTCCACGGGCCAGGGAGGGGAGGCCACCAGATGGTGGACGCCTCCTTGTCTCAGTCCACTCAAGAAACAGCAAACAAGGGGTCAACTCAGGAAGTACAGACAACCAAGGGAGAAAAGAAAAATGGTTCAAACAATGATACATAAGGGAAATGGGCTGAAAATGAATAATTCCAAACGGTGTTTCACTGGGGATAGCAGAGACCCCTGCCCCTTGGAGATGGAGATAGTCTTGACTTCAACCTGTAGTTCTATTACCTAGACTTCCAGCAATTTAATCTTTTATGGTCCTCTCTGCACTGGAGCTCGTACATCCTCAAATGCTGCCTATACTGTACCACATTGATCTGGATATTAAATTCACACCCTCCTGCCCCCATAAGAAAGGTCACTTACACAAAAATAATATATAGTAGACAGTGTAGACTTTCTTAAAATTTTTTCTAGAAGAGGTGGAGGAGTGAACATTGCACAAGTCTGAGCTTTTTCTAAAATTAGATAAAAGTGAAAGGTACGTTTAACTCTTTCTGGCTTAAGCTGTCTAAATCTTACTTCATATATTATTTCAACATCATTTTCTCCTAATTTGTATAAGCTTAGTTTAACAAGTGACTAAATGATATTTTTGTTTTCGCTGAATATGGACTATATATATTTTGCAGTGTATGTTAAGGTGGGAGAGAAATAAGCTCCTCTAGAGAGACATGTGCACTTACAAGAAAATAAAATATTTTTAGTTATAGATTATAAAAAATTTAATTCTCTTTTATTTCATGTTTGCCTAGTTTTTATTGAATGGTCAATTCCCCCTTGTTTATATGGGACCACTGATTACTAGTTTTATTGTTGAAAGTGCAAAAGAATCCTGTCATTGTGTATTCATACAGATGATAGAATTTTCTCCGATAAATAAAACAACTCATAGATATACTGCAATATACTTCAGAAATAAGTTGAAGGCAATATTTAGGTTGCATATTTATAATTTATATTGGTTTATTCATACATTTTATTTTTTCATTTACTATAAAATCAGTAGCTTCAAAGAAAACTGAAGTTCTCCCTCCCTTTTAAAGAAACCTTGATTTTTTAAAAAGTATGTACTTAAAATACATATCACTCTGATAAAGTAGACATGAATATGTAC